GCATGTGCCCTGACTAGGAATCAACCTCTGGATGCATGTGTCAATACTCAACCACTGAGCCACACAGGCTGGGCTAGAGACCCTCTTTATAGCACCTTTAGCTAAGCATTTCTCCTTGTATTCTCTTTTAATCTCTCACTGTCATGAGGGTAGGTACTTTTTATCTGTTTTGTTCACTATTATATGTAATCCCAGCACATAAAATGGTGCCTAGCACTTTGTAGTTTCTTAATAAATGTTTGAATGACTGGATGAAGGAATTGGCTTAACATTTTATATCTGTATTTCTTTATATAATTTACATACTAGAACATCAAACTTTTCCCATGTAAAATTAATTGGTTTATAATATATTCACAAAGTTGTGCAACCATCACAAATGTCAGAACATTTTAATTACCTAAAAAACAACCCCCCTATTTATTAGTATTCACTCCCTATTCCTCATCCCCCTAGTCCCTGGTAACCATGAATCTACTTTTCTATTTCTGAATTTGCCTATTCTGGCCATTTCATATGAATGGAATCATATAGTGTGTGGTCCTTTGTGTCTGCCTTTTCTCTCTCAGCATCATGTTGTCAAGGTTCATTCATGTTGTAGCAGATATCAGTACTTTGCCCTTTCTTATGGTGTAATAGCATTCCACTTATGGATCGACCTCATTCTGTTTATCCATTCATCGGCTGATGGATAGTTGAGTTGTTTACATTTTTTGGCTATTATGAATAATGTTGCTATGAACATTCTTGCACAGATTTTTGTGTGAACATGTATTCAGCTCCCCTGGGAGGGTGGAATACACCCAGGAGTGGAATTGCTGGGTCATATGGTAACTCCATGTTCAACTTTCTGAGGAACTGCCGGACTGTTTTCTAAAGTAGTTTCATTTACATTCCCACCAGAAATGTGTATCATAAATGTCATAGTTTTGCATAATAGTGCTGAGCACCTACTTTCTTGCTTCTCAAAAGAAGTAAAACTCTTTAACTTTTAACAAGTTATTTTGCTGAAATGATGGCAAAAACTAATTTAATGAAATAATTAATAATTCTGTTACTTATCTTTATTTTATTATTCATCCACCCATCACCAATCACCCAGAGAGCAATTCATATTAAATGTAGTTGTCTTTGCTGTATCGACAACTTTTATCATGTAAGAGCCATAGCTTTATACATGATTTTTATTTTGTTAATATTTATCATGGCAGGAGGACAGAATATTTTACTCAGCATCTTCTTAGCTTGACTTGTTACTTTTAAATATTGGACATGTTGGTTTAAGGGCATCCACTGCACTCTTGTCCTGGCTGCAACTGTTGGGGGCCAGCTGGGAGCTGCCTGTTTCTGCTTTGTAATCTAGGCAGTTGGTTTTTTTCTTTTCCTTATCAAATCTGCTAGGTAACAGAGAAAATGCTGGATAAGGTCTAAGATTAAAATGAGAGACAAGAGAGCAACTTCCCCAAATGATGTCAATGAGATCAAGGCACTATTTGATCAGGTCAAGGTGTATTTCCAGCCTCTCTTTGGGACTGGGGACATCTCCAAGACAATAAGTTGCATGTGGTTTAGAAACAACAAACAGGCATCCCAGGAATTTGACCCCTTTGCATAAAAAGATGGGTGGAGGGAAAGGCTCTGTACAGACGAACAAGCCTGTTTCTAGGTCATTTGCCTCCATGAACACAGGTTACAGGGTGGCGTCTCTATGAACTGAAAGGCTGTTCCAGGCCACACAGTTCTTCCGTCCACACCAGTATGTGCCTGTTGCTTTAGGAATGCTACAATGCTGAGCACTGTCCCAGAACTGTGCAGGGTATCCATGTGGCAGGGGCAATGCTGAGTACCCACTGCCTGCTGCCTGGAGCTCACAGTAGGCTGCATTTCCCAGCATCCCTTGCAGTGAGGAAGGGCTGAGTTCTGCCTAATGGCAGTGGTGACATCAGCACATCTAGAACTGGCACCTAAAGTCTTCTGTGATCCTTGAGCTCTCTCCCTTCATCAGCTTGCCGTGAGTACAAGGTCAGCGGGGGGACTCTGGGTCCTAGATCATCACTGGGGTAATCAGGGAAATGAACTTTTACCATAGCTCAGTGCTGCCTCTTACCCGGGATTTGATCCCATACCCAGGACCTGGCACCAAGTCTCTGCTCAAATGTCCTTTCTCACATATTGAGAAGGGTCCCTCTGGCTACAGTACTGAGAACACACTTGGGAATGGGAGTGAAGCAGAAGCTGGGAGGAGGCAGCTGAAATAGATTCTAAAATAAATCAATACCTGTCTGGGTCTCACCCCCAAGAGATGCTGATTTAATCGGTTTATGGTGGCACAGGACTTTTGAAAAGCAGCACATTTTAGGGCAGAAGCCAGTTTACTTTACGATGACTAATTTCCTTAGATTACCTGACTTCTATTCGTGCACATTCTGCCTGAAAGTCTTGATACCATAAACTAGGTGCTCATCCACTGCAGGGAAGTGCTGACTGACATACTTTTCATTATAGTGATTACCTTTGTCAAAGTCAGTTCCACCATCAGAGGTGAAATGAGTCCCTTGGAGACGGACTCTGCTTTCAGGTCAGCATCCCCCCAACCGCACTCCCCATCACATATTCTGCCTCCGAGTCCCGAGGGTCATCAGCTCCTGCAACCACGACCCCCAACGCAGCCTCCAGTTCTCCCCACTTCTAGGTGGCCTCCTGGGACGAACATAGCCACTTTGTGAACGGAGTCGAGCATTTCGAAGGCATTCTTGTATGGCAACACCTCCACCGATAGTGGCCGTGATGGAAACAGCGTTGGGTGGCAGTGCCTGCCGAAGCAGTCATACAAGCTGAGGCAACGGCAGCTATGGCAACAGGTAGTGGCCACTGGAGTGAATGACCACATGTGGCCACCACTGACGTGAACCCAGGAAGTGGCAGGGAAGTGAAACTCCAGCCTCCTAGGTAGCCTTGGTGGCTGATGGGGGTTAGTGTATAAACAGCCCCGCCCCTTGAGTGGGAAGTATGTGTTCGCAACTGTCCCCCGAGAATAATGCTGTTGCCCACAGTGATGATCACTTGACATGCCCGGGGTGCTGCTTTCCTTGCCCAGAATCACTGCCCACTGCCCTCTAATGAGGTTTGGGAGCATCACTCAAATCCGTATCCCCACGCCTGTTTCTGGGAGAACCCAAGTGAAGACAGTGCACCATGAACCAAGGATTCAAACACATGTGGCACGTTCACAAAACTGATCGTGTTCCCAGCCATAAAGTCTCAACATGTTAAAAAAAATGGAAATCATAAAGCATGTTCCTGTCCCAAATGCAATCAGGCAAGATGACTAGAAAAATTCTATGTTTTGAAATTAAGAAATACAATGTTAAACTTTTAAATCTGAGATAAATGAAAACAGCAAAATAGAAAGCATGTTCTGTGGGAAATTTACGTGAACGTATTAGAAAAGAAGACTGAAAATCAGTGAACTGAACATTCATGTCAAAGGCAAAAAACAGAAAATTAAATCTAAAAAAGGTAATAAAGAGAATACAATTTAAAATATACAAAATAGAGACATCAACAATGCCCCAGATTCTGTGAAAAGGTTAATAAATTTGAGAAAGCCCTTTCAATATGATGAAGAAAAAAAAGGTACAAATAATCCACATCAAAAAGGCAAAGGGGCTTTCACCAGATTCTAAAGACCATAAAAAGGTAATTCCGATATTAACAAATTTAGGGCCATTTGAAAATTCAGATCATGTCAAAAGCTCATAGAAAAAGTTGGCCAACACCCAGGAATAGAAACTGTTTTTACGGTGGTTTAAACATGGGCAAGAATTCTTCGCAGCCATGGAGGTGCCATCCCCTCCACCTCCCACCTCCCCCCCTGCCTGGGTTGGTCTCAGGACTTGCTTTGACCAACAGTATATGGTACAGGTTCAAGGCTTCCATTTTGCTCCCCTGGACCAGAGATCACATAGGGAGTTGATCTAGCCTACCGGAAGATATTCTGAAATGTAGTCTCTATCTCATCTTACCTGTTACCACACTTCTCAGTTACCCAGAGCAGAACCCGCCCAGGCAAAGTGAGGTTGGCCACAAGCAGAGAAATTGGAGGGCTCAGTCCACAGCCCAAGGAAACTGGAGCTGGGAGCAGAAGCCACCAGGTCCCCACAGCCCTTCAAGGACCACAGTGCTCTTTCCACCCCGACCACTTGGACTTCCACCTTAGCTCCCACGCCAACTGCCTTTATCTTCAAAATCAAGTCCCTGGGACAGACTCCAGCTTGGTTTTCCAAGCCAGAGCACAGGCCGTGGTTTCAGGGGGCCAGACCAGTCGGCACTGGCCAGGCACTTCCAATTTCTGGAGGCTCAGAGTCACGTCCAGGGGAGTGACTGGTCTGAATGGTGAATCTGGGTGCAGCCCTGGGCAGGCCGAGCTCAGCACTCTGGGATCCTGCAGACCTGCCCTCTATCACTAGCTGTGCCTATGGAACCTGACACCCTGAGGACACAGGAAGAGCTGCAGCAGCCACTGCCCGGGTCCACTGGGCCCTCCCTTCTGTGTGCTGAGCGCTACTCATTGGCTCCCTCTGCTCAGGGCTCTGATGGCAGGAGCCACTTGACCCCACAGTGCAGGCTGAAATGTTAGATGGTCAGTGCCCACAAAACAGCCCTCAGTGACAGATGGGAAGCTGCTCCTAGGACAGTAACTGAGGGATGTCCTGTGCAATACCCCAGAAGTCCCCAGTGGGACTGAGCTCCAGCTGCCCAGTCCATCGTTCAACTGGCTCTGAACTCAGGAGGAAAAGAGACGTGTCACTTATGCCCCCTAAGTCTCATGTAAACATGTGTTAAACAGTTGGCAAGTGCTGGCATGGCAGGGGGGGAGGGCCTATCCCAATGCCCATGCGACAGGAGACAAGGATGGCTGTTGCAGTTAACCAGGGAAGAGAGGTCTTAGTCCTGGAGACAGACCCTTCCTTGTTCCACTCAGTGATGCTGGGGCACAGAGGGCTGGGGTTTCTGCCCCGCCAGCTCTGTAGGGCCCTCAAGTGCTGAAGGCAGGAATCAAAGCCTGGTGTACAGTCTTTATTTATTGTGAGTCCTAATGTCCAGAGACTAGGCCCACGTCCAGGGCCCTCAGGACAGCTTCTGGTCACTCTTCAGGACTGGGGTCATTAAGTGTCTGGTCACTCCTGTCCAGTTTTCATAGGGTCCAAAGAGTCCTCAGGAGGCAGAAATTGGCAGCGCCTGTGGGAAAAAACACCATCATCTACCAGCCCCTCTTCTCATCCTCACACCCTGCTGGACAGCTGGGCGGCAGGAGAAGGTGACGAAAGAGACTGACAAGTGGGCCTGGGGAAGACAGAGAGCCAGCCCAAACCCGGGGTTTTGTGTGTCAGCATGAATGGGAAGCTGCTGAGGAACAATAAGCAAAGGAGTAATGTGAACAGGAGTAATGTCTGTTCCTAAGTGCTCTCTGGCCACTGTTAGGAGGCAGGTACTTGGGGATTCACAGAGGCCAGGTGGACTGTGGGATAGGTGTACTGGAGGGCAGGTGGCTGGACTAAAGCAGGGGCTGTGGATGGGGCAAGAGGTGGCAGTGTTGTGGATTCTGGATGAGTGCGAAGGGCCCTGCTGGGAGGGTGGAGCTGAGGATGAAGTCAGGTCTTTACCTACACACTTGCAGGTGGGCTCGGCAGCTGCACCTGCTCCGCGCACTGCAGAAAGTGGCGCACGTGTTCCGCACAGTTGCCCACTGCCGCCTCATTCTGCTGAAGACACTTCTCGAAGGCCTCAAAGGGCTCCGAGCAGGCCTGGCGGATCTGACGGATGACTGGACTGCAGGGAAGGCACCTCAGGGTCCACAGTTTTGCTGCACAGCGCCCCCCCTCGCGCCTTAATTCTCCTCCAACCCAAACTGCCTGGCCCATATCTGCCCTCGCCTACCCCCATGTGTCACCCCTGAAATGTCCTGGGCACTGTTTGCCTCTGTGCTGCCTATCACCATGCTCACACTGCCCACCCCACGCGCCCTCCCCTGTACTGCCCAACACCCCCACCCCTACCCCTGTGCTGACCCTAATTGTCCCCCACACTGCCCGCCCCCAACCTGCCCGGCCCCTGGACTGTCCCGTACTCACTGGTTGGAAGTGCACCGAGCAATGCTCATCTTGAGGTGGTGACAGTCCCGCTGCCAGGACTCGGGCTTGGCGGCCACACATTGGCCATACTGGTCCAGCTCCCGGCTGCAGTACCGGGCAGTGACCTCCAAGGCCGCCTGCCTATGGGACACGCAGGTAAGAAGGTTCTGACCTGGTTCCAGGTAAGGGTTGGGGAGGGAGGTCTGGGGCGGGTCCCTGAGTCTGACAGGTCCCAGGACAGAACCCGCAGGGTTCCAGGCTGTGGAATGGGCTGAGGGTTTCGAGGTAGGTGGTGGAGGTCCTTAAACAGATCTGGTCATTCTACTGCGGGCTTGGGGTCCAAGAGCCCAGTCATCCCCTCCGCGGGGCCTAAGTAGGATCCAGAGCTCCGGGAGGGCCTGGGAGCCACAGGTGGGTGTGGGTATCTGGTGTCCGGGAGAGGGTCCCCTAACCAGTCTTAGAGCGGAGGCCTGAGGACAGGGCACCGGAGGGGCATTTAAAGGCACTGATGTGTCGCAGGGTCCTTGGGGTACAATCTGGAAGCGCCAGGTGAGGCTGGGGCTCGGTTTCGTCTGCGGGGGGGGGGGGGTCCTCTGTACAGGTAAACTTTTGGGACGGCAGCGCAGGGCCATGTTCAGAATGAGTCTGCAGCCCTGTCGCGGAGGTCTGGGGTACCGGGAGGATATGAAAGGCTCAAGAGAGAAGGTGGACGCGGGGGCTGAACGTGGGGCTCCAAGGCCCGGTGTGTGAGTCCTCGGTTCCCACGAGGAAGAGGCGGGGCCTGGACACGCGAGGTGGGGGTGACGGCGCGGAGTCCCGAGGGTCGGAGCTGCAAGGGACAGAGGCCAACCCTCCTCCCGGATCCTGGCCTAAGTCTCGGTCACCGGGAAGGAAAAGGCGTGCGCGGCAGGGGCAGGGTACGACCCACTACTCACATGTCGAGGCGTGTGCCAGTAGAATCTATCCGCAGGCGCGCCCCGCCTCTTCCGGTGTCAGGTTGTCATGGCGGCGCCCTCCCTGCTTCGTTTTTTCCAGTTGCACAGTGGCCAAGCGGCCCTATTGCTTTATTTTTGGTACGTGCCCCCTAGCAGAACCGAACCCGGGACTTTCTGGTCTGCAGGCCCATGCTCGAACCACTGAGCCAAACCGGCCAGGGCATTGCTTTTAACGCCAACCCGCTATGGCGGCGCCCTGCCTCTGCTACCTCCTCGGCCTGCAATGGCGGCGCCCTAGTAGCCACTTCCGCCCGGCCTGCAATGGCGGCGCCTTGCTAGCCACTTCCGGCTGGGTCGCGACCCCTTTTTATTTCCAGCTTGCCCTGGCGCCTTCCCCCCCCCCCCACACACACACCGGAAGTAAATAATGGGAAGTACCCAGGTGCTTTCGCACCAAGGCGAGAGCAGCTTTCAGCTTGCGAATCCCTGTGGGGCTGGACCCAACCGGAGTACTGGCCGGCGCCTGCCCTTTGCTGACGCCGCTCAACACGCACCCCTCGCGGCTTGCTGGGCGCCGCGCTCTCTCTGCCTTGGCCTTGCGCTTGCCGTGCTCTCGGGACACTGGCTTGTGCGCACGCGCGGGGCCGGCGGGACGGCCCTGGTCTGCGTTACTTACTCCTGTAAACCCAGCAGAAGCGGGTGCGCACATGAGTTACCATCCTGGGTCCTTTGCAGTTACCCCCGGTAGGGTGACACTCCAGGAGGGTTGGGGGGCAGGACCCGGCAGCTATTCGGTGGGTGGCTGAGCCTGAGTGTTCCCGCCCGAGTGGAGCGCCGGTCCTGCCGCGAGCACACCAAACACACGTGCAGTTGTCGCAGCTTTTTGGATACGGGCTGTTTGTGAGGCAGTGACAGCCAGAGCCTTGGCGTGCTCATCTGTGAAACGGGGGTGTGACAGTGACACCTCCCCACGGGCACAGAGCCTGGGCCCCTGCAGGAGCTGTCCCCGAGCTGACCCCTGCGCCGGCCACGGTGACACAGGTTTGGAGACATGCGCACCAAAGGAAACTAAGAAGGAGGCGGTGCAGGGTCTCCAGAAGTGCAGGTTTATTGGGAATTAGCCTGCCCGACTACCTCTAAGAGAGTAGTAACCGGCTTGTACAGACTAGGGATTTTTAAACTCAGGGCTAGGGGGGTGGTCTTGAGCCGAGGAGACCTGGTCGTCTTGATTGGTCGGGCCTGGGGTCCCCCGAGTTCTTGATTGGTTGGGGGCTAGGGTCTCCTAAAACTTGTTTTTCTTGTTCGGCAACTGTCTGCAGTTTTGAGTGGGTTAGGGTGGTTCCATCATTCTGTTCTGCCTGACTGGAGTGATGGGTTTTGGTTTTCTGGAATGAGTGGCTTAGGGCAAGTTTATTTTATTTATTTATTTATTTTTAAATCTTTATTGTTGAATATATTACAGATGTTCCTCATTTTTCCCCCATTGCCCCTCTCCTGCCTTTTCCCACACTGTTGTCTCTGCCATTGGTTATTCATATAAGTTCTTTGGTTTATTTCTTCCCACCCCCCAACCCCTTTCCCTTTGAGGTTTGTACTTCTTAATCCCTTCACCTTTTTCACCCATTCCCCCAACCCCCCTCCCATCTGGCAACCAACAAAATGTTCTCTGTATCTATGAGAATGTTTCTGTTCTGCTTGTTCATTTTGTTTGTAGATTCAATTGTCGATAGATATGTATTCATTGCCATTTTGTTTGTTCATATATTTTATCTTTTTTTTTTTTTTTTTTCAAAAAGACCCTTCATCATTTCATATAATAACGGTTTGGTGGTGATGAACTCCTTTAACTTTTTCTAGTCTGGGAAACTCTTTATATGACCATTGATTCTAAATGACAGCTTTGCAGAATAGAGTAATCTTGGTTGTAAGTTCTTGCTTTTTCATCACTCTGAATATTTCTTGCCACTCCCTTCTGGCCTGCAAAGTTTCTTTGGAGATATCAACTGACAGTCTTATGGGAACTCTCTTGTAGGTAACTAACTGCTTTTCTCTTGCTGCTTTTAAGATTCTCTCTTTGCCTTGAACCTTTTGCATTTTGATGATGATGTGTCTTGGTGTGGGCCTCTTGGGGTTCATCTTGTTTGGGACTCTTTGTGCTTCCTGGACTTGTATGTCTGTTTCCTTCACCAACTTAGGAAAGTTTTCTGCCTTTATTGTTTCAAACAGGTTTTCAATTTCTTGTTCTCTCTTTTCTCCTACTGGCACCCCCAAGATGCGAATGTTGACACGCTTGAAGTTGTCCCAGAGGCTCCTTACACTATCCTCATTTTTTTGGATCCTTTTTTGTTTTTGCTGTTCTGATGGGGCGTTTTTTGCTTCCTTATATTCCAAATCAATGGTTTGCTTCTTGGATTTATGTTCTCTATTATTGAATCTGTGTAAATTATTCTTTATTTCAGTTAATGCCTCCTTCATTTCTGACTGTGCATCCATCATTTCTGACTGGTCCTTTGCGAGGCCCTCACTGAGTTCATTGAGCATCCTTATAAGCAGTATTTTGAACTCAGCATCTGTTAGGTTGCTTATCTCCATTTCGCTTAGTTCTTTTCTTGGGGTTTTGTTCTGTTCTTTCATTTGGGACCTGTTTCTTTGTGTCCTCATTTTGGCTGCCTCCCTGTGTTTGTTTCTGTGTATTACTTAACAAGAGGTATGGGGCTATCTGAGACCAGATGCTGCTCGTTTGAAAGAAATTAGGAAAACCTGAAGCAGGATCCAAGACAGGCCAATCCTATAGTTAAGCAAGTGGCAACAGCTTGGGTGGGCTTGAAAGTTGGGTGGGGCGGGGGCCTCAGGGAGTCACCAGGGCGGGGCTACCAGTGTGAGCCAGGTTGCTGGAGTCCCAGGTATGGGGACTGTCTGCTGCCCCAGGGAAGGGCTCACTAAAGGAACAAAGGCCTCTGACAGCACGTTTGTCCAGGAGAAAGCCCCCTCTCCAGCCCTTAGGGCAAGTTTAAATGATGAGTAATTTTTGGTTTCTTGGAATGAGAGGTTTAGGGCAGTAATATGGAAGTTAAGAGCTAACAGAAACCTTCCACCCAAGGCCGCTATGTCTTTTGCAAAACCTTCCAGGTGGCCTTTCGGGGGGTAAGGGTGGGGGGTGACACGGGACTCTTTTCTGTGGCCTCAAATGTGCACTGAGTCCTCAGATGTCCCCAACCTGCACCATGCCCTATCCCTGAGGGTGACACTCGAGGCACCAGACTTCAGGCTGCCTTTGGGCTATGGCTTTCTGGGGTTGGGTGGAAGGGACACCTAGGTGACGGTGGGGTTTGAGGTGAAGCAGATCTGGGCCTTGTATCTCCTGGTCACTGGTGGGTCCCCACACAGCCTGAGGCAGGCAGGGAAATAGTGGACTGAATTACACACAGGCTTGCTGTGAGGATAAGGTGATATCCAGGCATCTCCTCAGATGACACCGACTAAGTGCCACATATGTGCCAGGAGCTGTTTCTTTTTAAAACATTTTTTTTTCTTTACTGATTTTTAGAGAGAGAGGAAGGGAGAAAGAGAGAGACAGAAACATAGATAAGAGAGAACATCGATCGGCCACCTCCTGCATGCCCTTCACTGGGGATCGTGCCCACAACCAGGGCATGTCTCTTGACCGGGAATCGAACCAGTGACGTCTTGGTGCATGGGTCCATGCTCAACCACTGAGCTACACCGGCCGGACTGCTAGGAGCTAACTGCTAGGGAAACAGTGGTGAATAAAACAAAAATGTATACTGTTAAACGTGATTAAAGACAACTTATGTGCTGCAAACTATGTAACACCTCACGAAGTGGAATCTGCATTCGGATAATTGTACATGGGTGGAAGGCAGGAAGCTCTTACAAGATAGAGCGGAAAATGCCTGATTTCTGGGACCACACCGTCAACCTTGTTTGGGGTGAGAAGGCCCTGGCTGGCTTGGCATCTGGGGACTGGCTGACTGGATATACTGTGATTTTGGTCAAGCGGAGCATTTACAGGGACACGAAAGTGCTGCCGTGGCACTAGAGAAAAATACATACCATCATGGAGCTGAACATTCTAGTGGAGGGACAGACAGCTACCAAAATAAGAAAGACATACACTAAATTAGTGAATGTTAAGGAGAGCGGTAAGTCTGGGAAGGGCACGGGAAGTGTTGGGAGGGTGACCAGTGGTTTGATGTAATTTATAAAGTCACTGAAATTTCATAAGTGATGAGAGCAAACAGAGGTGTCTTTTGTTGTTATTGAGGTGACTTTTGGACCCCACTGATGGCCAGAAGAACCAGCCATGTGACTAGAGGGTTGGAACCTTCAGCCTCACACCTGACCTCAGGGAGGGGCTGGAAGCCAGTGATGTACTCAATCCCCCCTAAGTAATGCAGCCGCCACAGAACCCCAATAGGTGGGAGAGCTGTGTTGGTGAATATGTGGAGGTGGGGAGAGTGGCACACTCAGCATGGCAGCTCCGCTGTTCTCGACCTTGCCTGTGCGCTTCTTCCTGTTGCAGTCTTACATTTTTTAATTGGTTTTAGAGAAAGAAACATTAATTTGTTATTCCACTTATAATGCATTCATTGGTTGCTTTTTTAAAAAAAAAATCTTTAAAAATTCTTTATTGATTTTAGAGAGAGGGAGAGAAACATTGATTTGTTGTTGTACTTATGCATTGGTTGCTTCTTATTTTTGCTGACCAGGGATCAAACCCACAACCTTGGCATATCCAGATAATGGTCTAACCAACTGAGCTATGGGCTAAGGCCCTGAGTTATATTCTTTTATAATAAATTGGTAATCTAGTGAGTAAAATGTTCCCAAATTTTGTGAGCCATTCTAGGAAATTAATCAAACCCAAGGAGGGGTTTGACCTGTAGCTAGTTGGTCAGAAGCACAGGGGACAATTAGGCCTGATGGCTGCTCCCATTCCACCTAAGAAAGCTAAGGACACTACAGCAAACACTGAAGCAAGCCCTGGAGGTTGAAGAAAAATGACAGGAGGTGGAAATCCAGTGTATCAAGATCATCAGACACGGCAAATGTGATGCTTACTATTAAATAACTCTAATTTTATAAATCTCTTTCAAAGATAATTGACACCTCTGGCTGGTGTGGCTCAGTGGTTGAGCATCGACCCATGCACCAATAGGTCGCTGGTTCGATTCCCGGTCAGGGCACATGCCCTGGTTGTGGGCCCGATCCCCAGTTGGGGGGCATGTAGGAAGTGGCCAGTTGTTCTC